GAGGGCGAGTATTGCCGACAACAATCCAGTCTGTAAGTCCAAATTTTTGGAGTGTGAGTTTCAGCATCTAAAGATAGTAACAATGATGGTTGTTTGGTGGTTTCAAGCTTGTGGAGGAGGGATATTATTCTTCTAGTAGCGTCCGGGGCTTGTCTACCGGGGACAAAACCTACCTGGTCAGGGTGGATTAGCGTGGGGAGGTAAGGAAGTAATCTTTGGGCAATTTATTTTGGCATATAGCTTTATGTCCGTGTTTAATAACGAGATCGGTCTATAGTTTTTGTACCAGTTGGGGATCTTTGTTTGGTTTGGGAATGGTTGTAATTACTGACTGTAACATTTCAGCGGGGGAATATCCCCGTAGAGGCAACATGGTTAAATAATTCAGATAGATGTGTTGTAAGGTTGGATGCCATTATTTTGAAGTATTCGTTGGTAAAACCGTCATTTCCTGGGGATTTGTTTAGGGGTAATGTTTTTATGCTACGGTCAATTTCAGCAGGGCAGATTGGTGTCGATAGCGAGGTAAGTTGGGACGCTGAGAGACTGGGTAAATTGGTATTATCTAGGAAATGTTGAATGGTATTGGCGGTGGGTTGGGGCGTATTAATATCATCTTTGAGGTTGTATAGTGTGTGGTAATATGTCGCAAACGCGTCAGATATGTCTCGAGGGTTTGTGAGCAATGCTTGGGTAGTGGGGTGTTTAATCGAGGCTATCTTAGTTTTAAGTCGCTTTTGTTTAATCATTTTTGATAGGAGTGCATTTGCTTTATTACCAAGCGCGTAAAAATTTGGATTTTAGCTCTCTGTAGGTTGAGGTCGTATTCATGTAATAAAAGTATTCGTAGTTTGTTTCTATCAGAGGCCAGGGACTCGGCTATGATGGCATTTGGATTGGTTTTGTTAATTTCTTGTTACGTTTAATGGAGGAGAGAATCTGATCTATTTGATAAGATCTTTGTTTTTTTAATGCGGGGAATTTAATTGTATGAGGATACCTCTCATGTAAGCCTTATAGGTGGGCCAGAGCGTGGTTATAGGCATGTTCGGGAGTTGCATTAGTCTCAAAAAACAAGTTATGAGCTTCTAAAATATGTTTCTGGTATTCAGGGTTCTTCAGGATTGCAGAGTTTAATCTCCAGATTGGCGGGATTGCCGAGCGCTGGTTTTCGTCCACTGAGATATGAATAGGAGCATGGTCTGACCATGTTATCGTGCCAATTGTAGATGATGTTTATATGTTGCAGGAGTGTCCATTTGTCCGTGAGGAAAAAATCGATTCTGGAGTATGAAAGATGTGGATGGGGATAGTAGGAGAAGTCTTTCTCGTTGCTTGTTAAAGAATTGTTAAAGAATTGCAGCTGGTTTTTATTGGGACCATATACGTTCACTAAAGTGTAGAGGTTGTTGTTCAGTTGGCATATCAGAATGTGGTAGCGGCCTTGAGGGTCAACGGTTTCTGATATGTGTTGGAACTGGATAGAGTCTTTTTATGGCTGTAATGACTCCATTTTTTTTTTTAAGTTCGTTGTGGCCATGAAGATGTTTGAGAAACGGTGTAGGTGGAATTTGGGTATCTTGTTTGTAGCGAAGTGGGATTCCTGTATAAAAAAAACTATATCGGTCTGAAATTTCTTAGTTTCTTTATGAAGCATCGATCTTTTAAATGGAGAATTTAAACCCGTACATTAAGGGATGTAATGTTGATCATTGTGCAGGTCTTGAAGCGCTAAGCGATATATTTGAGGTGGTAATTGAATGGATGTGAGGTTGTTGCTAGCAGTTCCATGTGAGGGAGGAGGGAATCAAAAGTGAGAATTTGATTTAGGTTCGGTTGCTGGATTGAGGTGAAATTTCCATGAAAGTTCTTCATTAATCTGTTGGTAATAAGACGGATTTGAGCGACTGGTGATGGTGCCAAGGAGGGAGGTGGAAGGAAAAAAGGAGGGGTGTAAAAAAAAAGACTTGCGGTAAAAATGCAAGTGGTCTGAGTAGCTTGCATTGCTACTTCAGATGTGGGGGGTTCAAACAGGCTTAGGCCGTAAAAAAGGTCAAGCCAAACAGTTTCTAATAACATAAAACTTCAAAAACTCGGCCGATCGCCAGATATTGTTGAGGGGAAAACGACATTTTTGAGGTGCTATGTTGATGTTATAGCGGGTGCGATTAGTGACACGTTTAATCAGCTTCCATACTCTGAGAATGAGAGGGTGCGTTTTTGTGGTGTATCTTCAGGTATTATTTTCCAGGCTTTAAGCAGGTCTAGGCCTGCTTCGAGATTTTTAATGGTGAAGGTTTTACCATGTTGTTTCACGGTTAGTTTCGTGGGGAATCCCCATTGATATGGTATACTATGGTTCCTCAAGGCTTTAGTAATTGGTAATCATCTTTTTGCGGTTAAGCAGCGTGGCCTTTGAGAGATCTGCGAATAACCGGATATTTGCATGTGGTGGTGGTAGTGTAGATGTATTTCTGGCTGCCAGCATGATTTTATCCTTTATATGGTAGAAATGAATCCGGGCTAAAACATCTCTAGGAATGGAGGCGATAGGAATGTTGGTTTGGGTAGGCGGTGGGCTCGGTCTATGGCCAGCTCTAGATCTGAGATGGATGGAATGAGGGCTTTTATATACTGTTGTATATAGGACAGTAATGTCCATTAGTGACGCTTTCAGGTATGCCCCTAAATTTGATATTATTACGCCTTGAGCGATCTTCTAGATCGGCTAGTTTCAAATTGATTTGTTCGATGTCCAAGGTATGATCTGAATGTGCGTCAATCAAATCATTATGCGCTAAAATGACGTCGCCCATTTTGGTTTCAATATGTTTGTATTCTTTGCTCTTGGTGTTTGACCACATTAGTGATGTGTACCAAAGATGATGATAAATCATTATGCAGAGTTTGCTTAAGGGATAATAGCATGTTCTTCATGCATATTTCGGTTACTGGCTGATCTGTTGCTGGGAATGCCTCTATGACAGGGAGGTCTGTGTATAATTGTGAGGGAGGATCACTGAGGGTCTGGGATGCCTGCTGTTGTTCAGGGTCCAGTCTAATTCTGGACTTGGCTGGGCTTCTTGTAGTGGGGGACAGAGGGGAGACAACTCACCAGGGTCCCCTGGATATAGCGTGTATCTCAGCCTTGGATCTTGTTGCTGGGCAGAGTAGTCCCCCTGCTGCCTGCTGCCCCTCATGTCACTGCCGCCAGCGCCATCTTGGATTTCTGCCGTGATGGCAGGGAAGAAGTGTGTTAATTTCCCCGGCTGTCCCGGGGTTTTCCTCCTGCGGGGCATGCCTGGGGAGGATCGGGCACCACTTATGCTGCTGTCTGTGTTGTCAGAATTCCCTGGGGTCAGTGTGAGCCGCGATCGTTCTGGCGGCTGTACGGAGCGGTTCACACTACACAGTCCATGCAGGAGCCGGCCGCGCATGCGCCCCCTTCAGTCTTTTTTTCAAGGTAACAATATTTTCACCCTTAATGTTGGTCTCAAGACAGGTTCTCTTTGTAGTCATAGTGCAGACAGCTTTAAATAAATTACTTATTCCAGTAACTGTGCATGTCAGACTTGTCATTAATTATTGTTCCTAACAGTCAATGAGCATAACATAAAACATAAGAATGTCACTCACTAGCAGCTGATATATTCAGACTGCCAATGGGACAGATGATATAGGCACCATGTGTATTTACATATGGACCTATCCATCAATCGTCAGATGCTACTGTAAACACTGACATTACGTGATCTCCAGTAATTTAATGCTGGCAAAAGAAGCAAATGTAAAACTTCAAAGAGTTGCTTCTTTAGGTCGCAGTATTAAGGTGTATTATCCCGGGAGCCCGACTTACAATATTGCATTACTCTCACCGTGCTCAAGTAATCACAGTTTATAACAAAGCTGCTTGGTCCTGCTCTCTTCTTCTCTGAGTAACCTGTCTGGGAGCACGTGCACCGATTACATCACATGGGGCCTATCACAAGGGACAGTGCAGTCTCTAACTTCTGTCTATAAAGCTAGCTTAGAGGAGGGAGAATTTATCTTGAGTACTGTAATAATGTCCTCCAATAATCATTAATCCTATTTGTTATATGTTTTGGAACCAAATCTTTTAGAATGGATGTTTTCTTTCAGTTTGATGACAGGAGTGGTTTCAGTAGGGTTTACTAAGTGGGTACAAATGTCAGCTTATATCCGTTTACTGAAAAGCCTGTGCAATGAAATATAAATAGAAATATCTAATATATATAAATATCTATCTATCTATATATATATATATATATATATATCTCTATCTACTACACATGCAATATACATACACACGCACACACACACACTATATTGCCAAACGTATTGGGACGCCTACCTTTACACACATGAACTTTAATGTTATACCAGAGTTAGCCCATAGGGTTCAATATTGAGTTGGCCCAACCTTTGCAGCTATAACAACTTCAACTCTTCTGGGAAGGCTGTCCACAAGGTTTATGAGTGTGTCTATGGAATGTTTGACCATTCTTTCAGAAGCGCATTTGTGAGGTCAGGCACTAATGTCGGACGAGAAGGTCTCCGCTCTAATTCATCCCAAAGGTGTTCTGTCAGGTTGAGGTCAGGACTCTGTGCAGGCCAGTCAAGTCCCTCCACCCCAAACTCACTCGGCTTCATGGACCTTGCTTTGTGCACTGGTGCGCAGTCATGTTGGAACAGGAAGGGGTCATCCCCAAACGGTTCCCACAAAGCTGGGAGCATGAAATTGTCCAAAATGTCTTGGTATGCTGACGCCTTAAGAGTTTCCTTCATTGGAACTAAGGGGCCAAGCCCAACCCTTGAAAAAACAACTCCACACTATAATCCCCCTCCACCAAACTTTACACTTGGCAGAATGCAGTCAGGCAAGTACCGCTCTCCTGGCAAACACCAAACCCAGACACGTCCATCAGATTGCCAGACAGAGAAGCGTGATTCATCATTCCAGAGAACACATCTCCACTGCTCTAGAGTCCAGTGGTGGTGTGCTTTACACCACTGCTTTGCATTGCACTTAGTGATCTGAGGCTTGGATGCAGCTGCTCAGCCATGGGAACCCATTACATGAAGTTCCTTATGCACTGTTGTTGTGCTAATCTGAAGGCCACACGAAGTTTGGAGATCTTTAGCTATTGACTCTGCAGACCGTTGGCGACTTCTGCGCACTGTGTGCTTCAGCATGCACTGACCCCGCTCTGTCATTTTACTTGGCCTCCCACTTCGTGGCTGAGTTGCTGTAGTTCTCAGTTGATTCCACTTTGTTGTAATACCATGAACAGTTGACAGTGGAATATTTAGTAGCAAGGAAATTTCACGGATGAACTTATTGCACAGGTAGCAGCCTTTCACGGTACCATGCTTGAATTCACTGAGCTCCTGAGAACGACCTATTCTTTCACAAATGTTTTTAGAAGCAGCCTGCATGGCTAGGTGCTTGATTTTATACACCTGTGGCCATGGAGGTGATTGGAACACCTGGATCCAATGATTTAGATGGGTGTCCCAATACTTTTGCCAATATATTATTTATATTGTGTGCGTGTGTTTTATATATATATATATATATATATATATAGATACATATTTCAGGGAGGTTGAATTTATATCGCCCCAGACATGTAGCTCTGGGCGCCAGCCAGGTAGATTTTTTTCAAGCAGCAGGGCTCACCTGTCAGATGGAAGCATTCGGGCAGCAGCGCTGCTGCCGATTGCTTCCACACAGTGCCAGCGTCCACTGACTTTGTCCCCTATGTGGTGAAAAATTAAGTAAAAAAAAAGAAAAAAAAAAAAAGTTTTTCGTTTTAATTGTAAAAAATCCATTACACCCAAGCACATAACATCCCTCCCACATATACGCACATACAAATGTAAAAGCACATGCTGGGGCGCCTACACATGAAAACGTTGATTGCGGTACACGTTACATATCACCGTGCATGCTAGGATGAGAGCAATAATTCTAGCACCAGACCTCCTTCATACACTATACTAATTACCTATAAGGGGCTTTAAAAGTGTCGCCTATAGAAAACATAGTATACTGAAGCTTGTCGCTATTTCAGGAGTGCGCGCAAATTTAAGGTTTGACATGTTAGATATCTACAGTATTTACTCGGTGTAACCTCATCTTTTATATTTAAAAAAAAAAAAATAAGGTAATTTATTGCTTTTTTGTGCCCTGAAATTATGCGGTAATATCATGTGACATAAAAAATGGAAACTACCACTATTTTAGTCTCTAGGGTGTCTGCTTTCAGAAAATATATAATGTTTGCGGGTTTTAATGTAACCTTCAGGTCTAAAATGATTTTTTAAACTTGTGCAAAAAAAAAACGCAAAAATGGCTCTGGCAGCGAAAGGGATAAAGGATAAGCCGGTAACTCCCCTTTCCTGAGCAGCACCCGATCAGTGCTCACTACTCTGCAAGGTCCGATGTAGTCCCTGGACAAGTAGATTTTTCATAAAACACACACACACGAGATTCAGTGGTATGGTAGATTGTTGATCTCTTGAATGTATCTTGCAATTGATTTCCAGTTGTTCTGGATTTTAGAATTGCCACCAGATGGGGACAAAAGTTCCTTGTTCTGTCCATCCTTTCCAATACTGGGGTGATACAGAAGGGTATATAGGAGTACAGTTTTGGTACCACCTGGAAATTACATGCATCATGAACCAATTTCCTTTACTGTATCACATATACAGACAAGAAGATTTCTACACTAGTGGAAATAGGTATTTCACTGAAATCTCATAGCCTGTCTTGTCACCAGCTAAAAAAAAAATAAAATCATTCTAGGTCAAACTGAAATTCATCTCATCCCTCTTCATCATCATATGTGGTACGCCAAAAGCACTGGAAATCCCTCTGTGTTTGACCTTTCACCATTAATCGCCAAGAGCCCCAACTTTTGGTTTCATATTACTACTAAATGAAAACTGAAACATAATCAATGTCTATTTGAACTGCTTTTCCATAACCCTGACTTCCCTCTAAGCCTCACTGTCTCTAGATGAGAGATGCGGCAGACAAAACCAAGCCATACCTTTAAAAAGTACAATTTTACATAGTCACACATCAAAAGTCAGTACAATCTTCCAGTACAGGAAGTGGAGGGGCATTGGCTATTTACTTTTTGTTAAGTGTCCCTCTTTCTCATCTCACAAAGTTCGGAAGTAAGAGACTGTGAAAAAGGTCAGCCATGAAGGAGATTTTATTTAGTTGTTTATGACCTCAGTCTTGTTTGTGTATGGGAAAGGAAATTTATTTTTTACTACGTGGATATACCAGATCAGCAAAAATAAACATTTTGCTATGGTGAAGAGGAGTATTGCGGATAAGAAAAATAAATTATAAAAATTTAAAACAAAGACGAATGTTTTACTCTACAATCCTATTTTCAAAGTTAAATTTAGGTCTAAAAAGAAAGATTAAGAGTTTATGCACCTGGATGCTTTCAGGCACCCAACATAAATTGTGGGCATATTTATGCTCCCAGGAGACACAGCTACAACATACAGCTGTAGCAATCGTGCACACAGAGATGGACAAGGTCATCCATTTTGCTCCAAACCCCTCCATCTTGTATCTCTCTCTCCCAAATCAGATTCCTCCGATATCCCCCCTCCCTCTCTGTTGAGTGACATTATTTTTTTATTTTATTATACAGTATTTTATATAGCGCCAAAGGGTATGCTCAGCGCTGTACAGTAGCAAGGGGGACAGAACATGAGACAAGACAGTAACAATACAATACACGAGAGGTTCGAGGGCCCTGCTCTTTCGAGCTTACAATCTAGGAGGGAGGGGAAGGTGGTACAGGAGGAGATGGCTGTGGGGGATGGAGTGGTGGGAGGAGTGGAGGAGGTTAGTTGTTAGGTGAGGTCAGGTGTTAGGTGAGGTCAGGGTTAGGTAGGTTGGGGTCTTCCCTGAAGAGGAGGGTTTTCAGGGTGCGCCTGAAGGTGAGGAGGGTAGGTGACAGTCTGATGGATTGGGGTAGGGAATTCCTGAGAATGGGGGAAGTCCTGGAGAAGTCCTGCAATCGGGCGTGGGAGGAGGAGGAGACCAGGGAGCTAGAGAGTAGGAGGTCCTGTGAGGAGCGGAGGGCACGGGTAGGGTAGTATTTGGGTATCAGGTCAGTTATGTAGTTTGGGGCGGCATTGTGGATGGCTTTGTAGGTCAGAGTTAGCAGTTTGAATTTGATGCGTTGGGCAATCGGGAACCAATGAAGGGATTGGCAGAGGGGGGAGGCAGATGTGGAGGGGTTGGTGAGGTGGATGAGTCCAGCCGCTGAGTTTAGGATTGACTGGAGTGGGGATAGCGTTTGTTTGGGTAGGCCAGTGAGAAGGGAATTGCAATAGTCCAGGCGTGAGATGATGAGGGAGTGTACGAGTTGTTTGGTGGTGTCTGGGGTGAGGAACGTGCGTATCTTGGAGATGTTGCGGAGGTGGAGCCTGCAAGATCTAGATAGCAGTTGGATGTGGGGCAGGAAGGAGAGGTGGGAGTCCAGGGTGACACCCAGGACTTTGGTGTGTGGGGTGGGGGAGAGATGGTGGCGTTGTTAGTAGTGATGGAGTGGATGGGGGGGGCACGGGGGGTGGGGGGAAGACCAGGAGCACGGTTTTGGATAGGTTAAGTTTGAGGAAATGGAGCGACATCCAGTCTGATATGTCGTTTAGGAGGTGGGCGATGCGGGCAGGGGGTGAGGTGGGGGGTGGAGAGGTAAATTTGGGTGTTGTCAGCATAGAGGTGATAGTTGAAGCCGTGGGAGTGAATAAGTTTGTCAAGGGAGGAGGTATAGATGGAGAAGAGGAGGGGCCCGAGGACAGAGCCTTGGGGGACCCCGACAGAGAGGGGGAAGGAGGGGGAGGTGGCAGTGTTGTAGGTGATGCTGAAGGAGCATTGGGAAAGGTAGGAGAACTAGGAGAGAGCAGCGGCCTTTATGCCATGGGAGTGCAGTTTGGCAAGGAGGAGAGGGTGGTCAACAGTGTCGAAGGCCGCGGAGAGGTCGAGGAGCAGGAGGATAGAATAGTGGCCATTGGCTTTGGCGGTCTGGATGATGACAGAGATCACAGGCAGCAAACTCATTGGGAGGGCATCCTGGCTATAAACCCCAATTAGCTGGCGCCCATATGCCTGCGAGACTCTTGCTTGGAAAGATATCATAAAGCCATAAACCAAGTCCTTCACTGAGTTCAAAGACATTCCAGATAAGCCATAAAGCAGAGATCACATTCAAGACCCACATTCCCTTATGATTACATATCTTGGAATATGAGAGACTTACCTAAAAACCAGGCAGATATTCAAACCGGTCACTTTAATACATGTCGTCTGATATATTACACCCCCTATCTGACATATACAGGAAAGCAGAGAATAATATCTCCTTACCCGTCACAACAGGTATGTCATATTTCATATGTAGACATTCAGCATAAGATTCTGCACATTAATCTACTCGTGGATAGAATGTTATATGTATCCAGGGTAAGTTAAGAACCATGACATCAATTGGGAGGGTTTTTGGTCATAGCTTGGGTCTCCGCCTGCAACACCCGCCCACATGAGGCTATTGTTTCTCTGCCTCAGGGAGACACCCTGCTTAGTTCCTAGAAAAAGCTAAGCTGAGTTGAAAAAAAAGTTGAAGATTCTCCCTTTTAACATCGGAACTAACTTTGGGAGATAAGGCATCCTTTTGGCTCAGGAAACCTAATCTGCTTAAACCAAGGCTGACGGCAAGTACTTTATCCCTCAAAACCTCTGTTATCTCTTTGCTGTGTTATTGCTCTCAGTATATATTTATTGGCTACATCTTTTTCTGTAAATATTTTAATTGCACCCTTTTGACCTTTTAGTAATAAATCTTACTTTCTGAAAGTGTTGAACTGTTTCTAAAGCTCTTTAATGCAAACTAAGAACCCCTGCCTCTGAAGAGTGCTACTGTGTGTGTGTTTTTAAACTTTGGTATATCTATCCCTGCGGTGACAGTGGTATACCGACGCTTATGCAAACATCATAGTGTTATTGCTGATATTGCCGAGTTTCCTCTTTCTCTGTACAAAAAGGAGGTGGTGGCAGTGTGAAGGGTTAATTGCATAATTAACCTGACCCAGTAACAATCGCTCCCAGACTGCAGATACACAGATTGTGGTCCATTAGCTGGAAAATCTCTGTGTAGAGTGCAGCTGGACATGGCATTGTTACGCATGTGACAGCTCGATTTTAGATTGAGTAGTCCTTCGGTCACGAGTTTGGTGAGAAGGGCTGGGGTCTGACACCGCGATCGTCACAACAGCCACCGATAGTAATGACCGGCTGACGTGGGTATTTGCCATACATGCTCAAACTCGCACAAGGGGGTAAATCCCTGGATGTGTAAAAGCCACATTTAGGGATTTATGCCCATGCACGAATTTATGCA